CTGACAGTACAGGTATTAATCTCTTACAGAAATATGGGACATTTTATTCACCTTGCATGAATGCTTCTGACATTCATGCAACAAATGTTTTTATAATAATATTTAAAACATGCACAAACCCCTGGACCATTTCATCTCTCACACATGTATACCTCATATGGACCAGAACAATTGTTTTCTTTCTATTATGGGCCTATTCATCTAGTGATAATTTTGTCTTCCATATGATAATGAAACTGTACGTAAATTGTTAAGGGGATAAACTAGACTTTCTTTTGCTGATATCATCTTGTCAAAATGTATTTCAAAACAACTAGTGCTAGTGAAGATAAAAAAAAAAAAGTATACATTGTATTCTTTAAATTTATGATTTTGTTGGAGTGAATGGTGGAGTCATTTACAATTTTATTTGCACATTATTTCAATTTAATGCACATTTTTAATGCTAAAAATGCAAGGATTAAAAAGATAGATACAAATGAAGTTTAAATTTGTTTGGTTTAAAAATACCTAAATAAAATCAGCAGAAAAAAATAGCTAGAGGGAAATCTTGATTAGTGCTAACAAAAGGTTAATAATAAAATTGAAAAAAATAATAAAAAAATGAAGGGGTTGCTAGAACGGTCATCATATACAGATAAAAAAGGTCACATAAATCAAAGTAAATACCATGTAACAATAATGTTTTTACAAGGTATATCTACACTTCAGGAGTTTGTTATACACAGTCACAGCAAGAGTGGCTGAGGGAGTGGTGGTGGAAGAGAAACACAAAGAGGGCAGGCAATGCTTGTGCATCCCCGTGCTTGTAAACATTTCCCTACACAGGGCACAGATGTAATCACCCCACATGTATGATCTCTTAACCACTTGCCCCCCAGAGGATTTACCCCCCTTTCTGACCAGGCCATTTTTTGCAAAACGGCACTGCGTTATTTGGACTGACAATTGCATGGTCATGCAACGCTGCACCCAAATGAAGTGTCCTTTTTTCCAGACAAATTGAGCTTTCTTTCTGTGGTATTTCATCACCTCTGCATTTTTTATTTTTTGCGCTATAAACAAAAAAAAAGACTTGCAATTTTGTAAAAAAAAATAAAATTTTGGACTTTTTGCTATAAAACATATCCAATAAAAATCAAATTTCATCATAAATTTAGGCCAAAATGTATTCTTCTCCATGTCTTTGCTAAAAAAATCCCAATACATGTAAATTGGTTTACATGAACGTTCTAGCGTTCACAAGTGGAGGTATATATACTAGAATTTTTATTTCTTTATACTAGTAATGACGGCGATTAATGACTTATAGCGGGACTGTGGCGGGCATTCTGACATGGGGGGGGGCAGACTAACTGACATCCCCAGTGTCACTAATACAGTGATCAGTGCTAATAAAAAGCACTGACTATACTGACACTGGACAGGAAGGGGTTAACATCAGGGGCGATCAAAGGTTTAACAGTGTGCTGCTTTACAGTGTAAGCACATTGCTTTGTATTGCTCTGCTATGCAGAGCAATATAAAGCAGTGTGCAGGATCTGTATTGTTTACATACAGACCTCTCCCCTATCAGTGATGGTCAGTGATATCTGGGAGGCAGCAGGGAATAACCAGCCGGGACCTGGTGATCAACAGCTGAAGCTGCCAATGAAGAAGCAGGTAGGTCATGCGCGTCCCCTACTGGGAAATATATACAAGATTTTCAACAGCCCTGTAGCAGTGGTTCTGCTATCAGGATGTTAATGCAAGCACTCAAACTATGGGGTCCATTTATAAAACGTTAATTGGATGAATGTCAAAAGCATACATGGTTATGAATTCCTGTGATCTTCATCTAGTGGCCAAATAGTGGCCTATTTTCTCATTGAGATATTATAGACAGCAATTCCATATTTTGGCCACTAGATGAACAATTGTAGGCATTAATCTATTACAAAAAATATGGGGAAAATAATTACAGTCTGCATGGATGTTTATGACATTCATCTGACAATTGTTTTGTAAAAAGACTCCTTTGAGTCTTGTGGCTTTTTAAGGATGTCTCCCAGCTGCTGAACACAGTACATACATACTAGGGGGAGGTACAATTGGGGGAATCAATGGTGGAGAAGGATCTGGGAGGTTTGGTAGATCACAAGCTTAATAAGGGCATGCAATGCCAAGCTGCGGCTTCTAAAGTGAGCAAAATCCTCTTTGGAAAGGGTCAGGGACTTTTTTAAAAGCAAAAAGCAGCGTTTTTGCTACAATAGAGTTCAATGGAGAAGCTACTGAAATGCACGGTGCAGTGTTTTTGCTGTGCTTTGCATTTCTATTCTGCCCAGCAACAAAAAAAATTTGACTTTAACAAAAAAAAAAAAGAGCTGAAGAAAACTCAAAATGCGATAAAAACGTGTCAAAAATACATAAATGTCAAAAACGCGTGCAGAAAAATGCAAAAATGAACTGCGAAAAACACCGCAAAATGGACAAAAGAAAAACTGCATAGGTGTGAACGGAGCCTAAGAGAAGGTCAGCATTGACTGCCCCGATAGTTCTCTCAGTACAGGCTCCTTTAAAAACCTACAGTGTAAAAAAAATTTACTGAGAAGTTTATTATCCATTTTGAGTGGGTTCTATGCACACAATACTTAGGATTCACTGCTGTTAAACCCAAAACCAAAAATGTATTATATTGCAACTTATCAATCATTAGATGTGGTGGCTGCATTTGTTTTCTTTTTTTTTTGCTTTTTTCCTCTGTTTTCACCTGGTGATCTGGCCAGTAACACACCTCATACATTAGAGTGCCTCCACTCTAGATGAAGGAGACAGCAGCAGATTTGAATACACTTACACATTGAAGCCACACTCTAGCACACATATATATGCAGTTGCAGTAACATTTTTTTTTTTTTCCCTTTTGGGATAAAGGCTTTACATGAATAAATAAAAACTGATCATTTTAATCACCCCTATCAGTGGCAAATGGATTGTCTCATCCATGTAAACTGATACATTCTGCTGGAGAGCTTGAGCTTCTGAAGATGAAAATAGAAGAAAGGAAAAAATGCAGCCACTACATCTAAGAAGTGGTAAGCTGAATGCTTGCTTTTGGGTCTAACCTGTTCCTGACCATGCTATAGCAAAAAGACAGCTACAGTGTGGTCAGCTAGTTCTAGAAGGGTATCCTTCGGACACAGCCAATCACATGACTAAGGAATGGGCCAATCACAGCTGCTTTTACCATGCTGATCACTGGGTAAATAGGTAATACTGGTTATTTGCAGTCCTCTCCTCATGCTGACAGCATGTGAGGAGAGGAGAACCGGTAAGTGGCATTTCGCAGGGGGACATCTACACTGATCATCAGTGTCTTGGTAATCAGTGTAGCCCAATTAGTGCAGCCACTAGTGCCCATCAGTGCTGCCTATCAGTGCCCATCAGTTGAGTCAGTGCCCATCAGTTCCACCTAACAGTGCCCATCAGTGTTGCCCAACAGTGCCCATCAGTAAAGGAGAAAAATTACTTATTTACAAAACTTTATAACAGAAACAAAGAAATACTCTTTTTTTTACAAATTTTTTAGTTTGTTTAGCAAAATATAAAAACCCCAATCAAATACCACCAAAAGAAAGCTCTATTTGTCTAAAAAAAAATAAAAATTTTAGTTTGAGTACAATGATACATAACCGCGCAATTGTCAAAGTATGAAAGCGCTGAAAGCTGAAAATTGATCTGGGCAGGAAGGGGGTAAAAGTCCCCGGTAGGCAAGTGGTTACTGCTTAAGTCTCCCTACTTGTAATCCATTGATATTAAAACTTGAAATCCAGATTAGAAATGACTTCCTATTTAGATAAATGATACATTTCATCTAACAAGGTACCTTGGCTTTGGTTTCTATAGGTAGTGTAGAGTGTATAGTTCTGTAGTAATAAGTATGTTGTGGCAGCTCTGTCAGAAATGATGCATGCCTTTCTTCTGCGGTGGAGGCCAGTGATGAAAACAGATTATAGATGGGTTGGTTTCAAAGTTTCCAAAGCACAGATCAGCCTCGTACATCAGATGAGGGTCACGCCACTGTCATGTTACTCACTCACAAATGTTTTGTACTTTGGCCTCCTTCTGCTAGTTTGAGCTGATACTGTCAGCGATTTTCTCTCTGTTGAAGGATATCTGTATAATCCAGCTCTGCTCTCTGCACAACAAACCATTTTTGTCTTGAATTTTGTGTTCAAATGTCCGTGCTTTGCTTTCCATCAATAGAGAGATCTTAAAGTATATCTAAACCCAATTTCCAAAATCTCGTCTAAACTGCAGCATGCAGAGTGTCCCCCCTGAACCATCCCCTGTGTACTAGAAATACCTAATCCTCATCATTTTATCTGCATATAGGGGAGTGATCATACAATGGGATATCCAGTTATGTTGAGGTTAGCAGGTTGACCTTCTTCCCAAGTGTTTTAATAATGAACCCTTTCCATCTGGCAAGAGGTGGCCCTTTAAATGTTTGTAATGCCTGAGGCCGTTCCTCTTGATCATATACAGTGAACAGAAGCTGTTGGTGACAGCATTGGGAGGGCAGAGTAAGCACGTTCCCAGGGAAAAACAACACATAAATGTGGCAGCATGGCGTTAACCCTTTTTCTACTACCACTGCTTTTTGTGCATTGTTAGATGGTTATTTCTGTAGCACCACCTAATAGCGCCACTGCAGAATGAACCATGGGCTGCCAATACATCCATTATTAGCTGTGTACTGAGTATGCTGAGCTTCCCAATGATGACTTGGTACACTTGGCCATTAACCACTTTCCTGCTGCCCTACAGAAGAAATACTGCTACAGGGCAGCAGGGCTGCACAAAATCACACATATATATATATATATATATATATATACACACACACACATACATAATTTTGTATTTCCAGGTAGGGGGCATGCCTGCGCTACCATTGGTGGCCTCACCAGATCCCAGCAGGTGATTCCCTGCCAGCACCCAGGAGATTGCCAACAGAGGAGATACCTGTATGTAAACAATACAGATCTCTCACCTGTCAGCTCCAGCACATTGCTTTGTATTGCTCTGCATTGCTCCCAAAGCAATGTGCTGACACAGTAAAGCACAAAACACAGCACACAGTTAACCCTTTTATCGCCCCAGATGTTAACTGCTTCCTACCCAGTGCCATTAGTACAGAGTCAGTGCTTTTTATTAGCACTGATCACTGTATTGGTGTCACTGGGGATGCCAGTGACAGTCAGTTCCCCCCAGTGTCAGAATGCCCACCACAGTCCCACTATAAGTCGCTGATCACTGCCATTACTAGTAAAAAAAAAAAAAAAATTCCAGTATCTATGCCGCCAATTGTAATCACTATAACTTTCACATAAACCAATTAATTTACACGTATTGGGATTTTTTTTTGCAAAGAATACATTTTGGCCTAAATGGCAACATTTTATTTTTTTTTTAATTTTTATACTGGACATGCTTAATAGCAAAAAGTAAAAAATATTTTCTCAAAATTGTCGGTCTTTTTTGGTTTATAGTGCAAAAAAAAAAAAAAACACAGGCGATCAAATACCACTGAAAGAAAGCTCCATTTTTGGGGAAAAAGGACATAGATTTAATTTGGGTGCAGCGTTGCATGACCGCGCAATTGCCAAAATAACAGCTCTGTATCGAAAAAAAAAAATGGCCTGGTCAGGAAGGGGTTAAATTCTCTAGAGGGCAAGTGGTTAATGAATGCACTGGCAGCCCATGGAGATTCAGTAGTATTCCACCACTGTTTAGATGACCATAACGCCCCGGTCACATTACAGTGAAGTCTCACGATTTCAAAGTCGGGTAAGATGCCGATTTGAGGTGCAATTTGCAAGACATCTGACACAGCATGCACTACTTTAGAAATTGGTGCGGCTCCAACCAAGTCGGAGCTGTTACAGTAGAGTGGCCAGCTGGAGACCTCTGTGGTGGGCAGGACCTATTCTCGTTAAAGCTGCCTACGTCAACATGTTTCGCCCACGGGACTGTGAGCTTCATCAGAACTTTGAAATGGTGCCTGCACTACTTTGATATGACTTAGTGTCAGAGAGTGTAAAGTTGGATCTTAGAAATCATGGGACTCGCAAGGAGTGAGAATGGAGCCTTTGTCACAGTGAGTTTCCAGGGTATTGAAAAAGCTGCCTGTGTAATGCGTTCACATTTTGACACTATTGCCCATGCATTACCAAAAATACCATTGTATTAATCGCTTTCCAACTGCCCTATGTCAGAACATCTGCTACAGGGCGGCAGGGCTGTGCAAAATCATGTATATATGTGTGATTTTGTATTTCCGAGTACAGGCCCGTGCCGCCATTAGCAGCTACAGATTTCGATCACTGGGTTCTGGATGGAGATTCCCTGTCGGCACCAGGCGATTGACGAGGAACAGTGACAGAGGAGAGGTCTGGATGTAAACAATACAGATCTCTACCCTGTCAGCACCAGCACCCTGCTTAGCAGAGCAATACAAAGTAGCGTGCTTACACAGTAAAGCAGACACAAACATAGTAAAACAGCACACAGTTAATCCTTTGATCGTCCCAGATGTTAACCTCTTTGTGCCCAGTGTCATTAGTACAGTGTCAGCGCTTTTTATTTGCACTAATCACTGTATTAGTGTAACTGGGGATGTCCGTGGCAGTTAGTCAGTTCCTCCCAGTGTCAGAATGCCCGCCGCAGTCCCGCTATAAGTTGCCATTACTTGTATTAAAAAAATACTTTCACGTAAACCAATTAATTTACATATTGGGAATTTTTTTCAGCAAATACATGTAGCAGAATAAATTTTGGCCTAAATTTATGACAAAATTAGATTTTTTTTAAATTCTTTTTACTGGATATGTTTTATAGCAAAAAATCAAAACTATATATATATATACAGTATATATATATATATATATATATATTAAATTGTTGGTCTTTTTTTGTTTATAGTGCAAAATAAAATGCACAGGCAATCAAATACCACCAAAAGCAAGCTCCATTTGTGGGAAAAAAGGACATACATTTCATGTGGGGTAGTGTTGCATGATCGCTTAATTGTTAGTTAAAGTAATACAGCGCTGAATCGTAAAGAATGGCCTGGTCAGGAATGGGGGTGGGGGGGGGGGGGGGGGGGTCAACCCTCTAGAGGGCAAGCAGTTAACATAGCTGCCCATGTATTTTCACATTTTCCTATTGATTGGCAGGGCTGCCCTTATAATATCGCACATGCCTGGGCATTACTATATCTGCCAGTGCCTTGTCACAAGAACGCACATATTACCAGCTATTTGTGCTCTGATACTATTTTATGCTGTAGTGTCATCTGTGCGATTTTTTGAGCAAAGGTTACAGGGAAACCTCTCCCACAAAAGGTTCATCCCCATTAAACCAACTATACAATTTGGGTGATTGTATTATTCTCAGTCTGCCATGTCCTCGTGGCCAGCTGATGACTGTGTTCCATTGGCCAGCTGATGACTGTGTCTCTGTGGCCAGCTGATGACTGTGTTCCATTGGCCAGCTGATGACTGTGTCCCCGTGGTCAGCTGATGACTGTGTCCCAGTGACCAGCTGATGACTGTGTCCCCGTGGCCACTGATGACTGTGTCCCAGTGGCCAGCTGATGACTGTGTCCCAGTGGCCAGCTGATGACTGTGTCCCAGTGGCCAGCTGATGACTGTGTCCCAGTGGCCAGCTGATGACTGTGTCCCAGTGGCCAGCTGATGACTGTGTCCCAGTGACCAGCTGATGACTGTGTCCCCGTGGCCAGCTGATGACTGTGTCCCCTATGTCCATCTTGGATTTCCTAGATTGCAATAGCAGTACAAAGAATGAGATTGTTTTAAATTTCCATTTAAAGCAAACCTGTACTAACATGCATATAGAAGCTGCCATTACGGACCTCCTTCTAAAAATACTTGGCCTGGAACAAGCATGCAGCCAGAGAAGACAAATCAAAGTCAGAACATCTGATCTACATACTTGCTCCAGATCAGTTACTCAGAAATGTAATAAAGCCAATGAATCAACATGACAGTGAGGCAGTGGCAGCCTCCACAGTTCTAGTCTCACAGATTCCATTGAACCAGTTTTCAATAAAGCAGCATTATCCTACTACACTATTGTGACAGCAATGTATTGTGTATGTGAAAGGAGGGACCTAGCCAACATTTGTATCTTTCAGATTTTTGTACGTTCAAAAAAAAAAATGTGTTCAATAAAACTACATTGAGGACTGCGGGCAATTGACTGGGGTTGATTCACCTAGTCATCGGTCACCCCACTGCAATTTCACATGTGATTTCTGAAGACTTTAATGCAAATAGTAAAAAGTAGTTGAAAATCTTCAAAAGTTGCAATATATTCTATGCATGTGAAAGCGCAACAAACTTCATAAAAAGTAACGCAAGAACCACTTTGCTGCAGCAAATCTCACATGTTAAAACACTGGCATTCACATTCATTAGATGCAATTTCAGGTGTGATTTCAATTCACACTTAAAATTTCACTGGTATTGACTGGGCACTCAGTCCTCATGCACACTGGATGTTTTACAGCTGCTGGTTTTGGTGCTTTTTTTCTACAGCCAGTAAACTCCCCCGCATGTTGTCCTATGTGTCCACGCACACATTGGCTTTTATCAGCGTTGTTTGACAGGGGCATTTTTTTTTTGGCTGTAAAAAAAAAAAAAAAAATAACACAACAACTAGGGGGGTTTCAAGAAGAGTTTTTTTAGCTGTAAAAATGCTCTAATGCTGGTAAATGCGGCAGAAAGTGTCAAGCGTTTTTTTTATCTAAAATGTTTTTTTGTGTGAAAAAAAAAAGAAAACGTGGAAAAAAAAAGCTAAACGCTAGTGCAAAAGCTCTAAAAAAAATTTGGGAAAAACTTACATTTTTAACATGACTTATTTTAAAACACCCAGTGTGTATGAGGACTAGAACAGGACAGTGTAAAATCTGGTGCAGCCCTGCATAGAAACCAATCAGCTTCCCGGTTTTCTGTCAAAGCTTAATTGTGCAAGCTGAAGTTAAGCCGACCATACATGGGTCAAATTCTGAACATTTTTTCTTTTAAAAATCTTTTCTAAGAGTTTTCTTTTGAATTTTACATCATTAGTGGGCCACAGAAACAACTGAATTTTGAGTGACCATCAAATTTGAGGGATCTGGCATGTTGGAATTTTTTTTTTAAAAATGATTGAGTTTCTAATCAATGATAGGAGAATCGTGTGAGAAATGTAATCGAAAAAGAAATGAGCGGTGACCTGGAAAGAAAAGAAAATTCTTGGCCACGAAAATTCTTTTCAGTAGCAACACGAGGTGAAATGAAATGCTTGGTTGAATTTCGAAATTAAAATTAAATTAATTAAATGAAACGCACAACATTTACAATGTTCTAAAGAAAACGTGTTCTGCATTCAAACAATGTATAGCCTGCATAATGCAGGCCATAGATGGTTCGTTTATCGGCCGAATTTTGGGCCGCAAAAAACGCAAAATCGGCCATTCTGTTGCCATCAATGATTACGAAAAATTGGCCGTTTTTTGTATATTTTCCAGCATGACCGATAAAAGAAATGAAGAGGAACCGCAAAAAATTGGCCAATGACATTGCCCCTCTAACGGTGCAAATATCGGCCGATTATTCTTTCGGACGAAAAATCGGCCGATAAACGAACCGTCTATGGCCTGCATAAGAATCTGATTGTCTACCATGCACAGCTGCACCAGATTTTGCACGCTCAAGTTTTAATAAATCAATGTCAAACACATGACAAATGCTGGGGAAAAGAAACCAGCATTCTTCATTAACCCCTTCCCTGACCTAGGTGCAGCATGATTTAACAATGCCATGACCATTCATCAAAAGCCTGCAGTATTAAGGCTTATTCACACGGGCATTAAAACAGTCCCATTCTCTCAGTTGCTTGGAGCAGTATAAAAAAAAAATCAAAAAACAAAATCTGCATTCATGATCTGTATTTGGAGTGTATTCTATGCTGAGTGTGTGTGAATGCTGAGGCTCCATTCACACCTATGCAGTTTGCTTTTTGTCCATTTTGCTGTGCTTTTCGCAGTTCGTTTTGCATTTTTCTATACGTGTTTTTACATTTTGTGCAGTTTTTTTTTTTTGTTGCTGGGCAGAGTAAAAATCCAAAATGCAAGTCGTGGCAAAAACTCACTACCATGCATTTCAGCAGGTTCGCCACTGAAATCTATAGTAGCAAAAACGCTGCTTTTTGCTTTTAAAAAAATCCCTGACCCTTTCCAAAAACACAGCAGCTCAAAAAAAAGCATTGGATGTGAACATGTTCCATAGCAAACAATGTTAAATGGACTGTAGTGAGTTTCTGCAAAAAAAAAAAAAAAA